CCGGAAATTAAAATCAGTGAAATATAAGATGGAACAGTAAAGTGGAAATATATTCATTGAAAATCAATGAATATATACTCTAATCACCAATGAAATAGTTCTTTTACACACAGAAGAAAGAAAACATTCTTATTTTGAGAATATCTTTATTTTTGACACGTAATTGGATTGAGAAAATTATACGACATTGAAATTAAAAAGTCTACAATTAAAATTATTTCAATTAAAATGTATTACTATTAATTTTATTAAAATTCGAGACTTTAAAATTCTCCTGACAAAATTATATACTGTTGTTTATGTGAAACAACGACTGTTAATTTCATTATATTAATTTTATATGAATATTTTTTTTATTTGTGTTCCCCGATTTGATCAGAGATATTTTTGCCGATGCACTTCGAGAGACTATCGTGAAGTTATTCGAGGAGGTTTCCGTTCGGATTGACTGCGTTATTGCTTAAATGTTTGTGTTTTCTAGAGAGAATAATCCCGACTGGAAATCCTCGCGAACAACTTCGCAATATCTTATTCTGCTTCAGGAGATTTCCCCGTCGATGAATCCGCGATGCGCGGAAAAAAGAAAGTCCATAAATCCCGTCTTGGTCTCAATCGTTGTCAATTTCTATCGAGAAATTCCGTCGATTCGACGATCTTTCCTTTTTCTTTTCAGAGCCTCGTAGTGAGACCTTGTAGTGAGACAATGCATCTCCCGATGCTCCTATCTTGCTTGTAGGTCACATCGCAGGTAACGTAACACTTGGCAGACTCTGAACACTCCTTGACAGGATCGCACCGGAGTGAACAGTAGATTTCTTTTGATATTTTCGCGTAGATCTCGAATCCACTACGAGTTTCCATATTTTCATAAGGTCGCGTCGCCGGTGGAAGCGCGAAACGTTTCTCTGTGACGCGACTTGTTACGTGACTCGTGCTTTCCTCGGGGGAACTTATAAATTTGGACGTCAACGATCGACGTTACGATCCGCAGAAGAAATAAAAGAAGAACAAAAGAAACGGAAGAAGCGAAACGAATTTAAGACACATTGCTCTTCATGGAAATTAATGCCTCGCGGAAAATTAACGCGCCGCGTTTTACTCGGCTCGCCCACTCGCCGTATGTTACGTAAGTAAATATAGCGTGTTGTATATGGGCAAACTCTAGGTATAAATATAGTATGTGCACGCACACGTACACACACTTACAAACTCTCTCTCTATGGCGCGCGCGCCATAATCCCTAAAACTTCCGATTTAACTCTTTCGAAACTCCATTTTCTGGCATCAGTCCAGTCGTGTACCCGACTTAACGTTTAGGAATCCTTTTAAGTCTGCTCCAATGTAACGTTGTTGGAGACAACGAAGGGGTTGGAACAATCGCGAGAAATTAGAATAATGCCTCTTGCAAGAGTGGCACGTTACCGGAAACAAGTATCACGACGCGATTGTTGGGGCTCAGATTGAGAACAAGTAAAGCTTATGAGAATGGAAAGAGAGACAGAGAGAGAGAGAGAGAGAGAGAGAGAAGGGCGAAGATAGTAAAACCACGCGTGAATCACGATTTTATGAAAATGTTAACGACATTAACATTATAATCGATAAAGTTCGAGAGAGAGAAAAGAGGAATTTAAGAATTGCACAATTAAAAATATCCTTCTTGAAGCGTTGATGATCTTCGGCTACGAATTATTATTAGTCCCGTCGTTTTGTGAAACAAGGTTTCGATCATGAGTGAATGAAAGGCCGGCCGTCTAATTGTCCCGTACGAATCGCTAATTACTGATAAGGCCGTGATAGGAGTGTATTGTGCGAGCCGCGGCATCGTGCAGTATCCCCTGTTGCATAGTTAATTGCGATAGACAAGCTCGGCACATTCGATCGAGCATTGTTAGGGGAAATTTCGATAGACAAGTTCGTGCCTGGCGGTATAATGCCCTGGAGGATTAGAGGAGAGAAGTATATACTTAAATTATCGATTATAAATAAATAGAACACAATTCAATTATACAGAAATCAAATATCCCGACGCAACCGAAAAATTGCGTCTACAAAATGCAAACGAATGCGAAATTACGAAAGATTCGTTGTCGAGTTGAATTAAATTGGAAAGGAAGTAAACGATAATTCGCAGATAAAGCAATTCAAATCGGACGATAATTTGGAACAATTATGAAATGGTGAAAGGTCAGTTTTATCGGCGAGTAGAATTTAATTGAGAAGGCAGTACACGATAATTTGCAAATGAAACAATCCAAATTGGACGATAATTCTTAACAATTATGCAGTTTTGAAAGATTAGTTTCCTTTGCCAAGCGGAATTTAACTGAGAAGAAAGTAAGCGATAATTTGCAAACCAAATCGAGCGATAATTCGGAACAACTATGAAATCATGAAAAATTTGTTGCGTCGTGGAACAGAATTTAACTGAGAAAGTGGTAAAGTGATAATTTGCAAATAAAGTAACGCAAGTCGGAGGATAATTCTGGACAATTATGAAATTATAAAAGATTCGTTTCGTGGTCGAGTAGAATTGTAACTCAGAAGAAAGAAAACGATAATTTGCAAACTACGCGCAGTCAGGCGATAATTCTTAACAATTTCACAGATCGATAATAAAAATCAGGCTTCGCGGCGCGACCGAACTCGAAGTAACAAAGTGGCCTTCGTCCTCGTGCGTACATCACGCAATCTATTTTGGTTTCTGGAATGCCACCGTGTAATTTTCGTGGAGGTGCAATTTTGCACCGTTAATTTACGGGGTGAGCACCGGATAACATCCGACGATCTAATTATCCGGCGCGAGTTCCTAATTACCGATCGTGCCGCGATAACGATCGAGCCTTACATTGTGCTTAACCATTGCGGTTGTAACACGCTCGCTGCGAGCACCTTCGGTAACCGATACAATCGGATAACACTGTCTGACCTGCGTTTTGTATTACAAGTTATAACAGATTCCCGCCGTCCTTCGTGAGAAACGATGACAAACGTTTCTCTCTTCTGCAAACGACCTAAGATACAGCAACGTGCAGCGCAGTATCTTCGCGCTGTTTTATTGGAAAGTTAATTAGCATCTATTTCGTTCACCGAGAGAAATTATCTGATAAAAAATTAACAAATGGATATTTCCAATCAAATTCCGATCAATTTTTATATCGGACCAGGATATCCGGTTAAATTTTATCGGATACTTCCGACCATAATAGCATTTTATCAGATAAATCGATCAAAAATTATGAACCGATATTTCTCATCGTATGTTTCCTGATCAGATACAAAAATTCATCGATATTTTGATCGGACATATCTGTTCGTTAATTTTTTATCGGATAACTTTTTTCAATATTGCGTTTAAATTCGCTGTTTTTTTTTCGTTGTTTCTTTTACCGAAAGAAAGACAAAACTGCACCTCTCCCTCTCTCTCTCTCTCTCTCTCGATTATTCAGTCCTGTCTCGGCAGTTGACGAAATTTCTTTTCTACTTGCTGACGATACATACGTAAGCTATGCCTTCGATACGTCGGTTGTTAGTTTTCTCGCAATCTGCCACGATGCATAATGCACTTTCATCTAAAATCGATAAAAAAGAGCGGGCTGTTCTTCAGCCAGCGGACTTCGCGTCGATGTTAGCCAGGCAGTGATTTCGTTCTACATGGAATAACGAAATTAACAATCTCGATAATATAGTCGATAAATGCGCCGGACTGCATTTGCGATTCGCAATTATGTTTGTTAACACCTATAGATAATTAACCGAAACCGAACAGTCGAAGAACAAATTTACATTCGTTCCGATAAACGAGGCAATTAAAACGGGACGATTAACGCTTAAGGCGAGTAAATAATCACGATCTACGTCGTGTGTGTGTGTGTGTGTGTGTGTGTGTGTGTGTGTAATAAATATATAATAAACAGTTCCCCCATCTGCCTACTCTCTCTTTACCGCCTGATCGATGTTACGTCGTATATATATATATATATATATATATATATATATATATATATATATATATATATATATATGTGTATATATATATGTGTGTGTATATATACATATGTGTGTATATATATATATATATATATATATATATATGTGTGTGTCGTGTGAGTGTATATATATATATATATATATATATATATATATATATATATATATGTTCCCTTGTGGCAATGAATTTCTCATCGACCCTCCCCTTTACGACCTTAAACCGCTCATTTGACGCGATCTTACGAGTCAATGTGTAACTTCTCCATCTAGAAACTGTAAATTATGAAAATAGTCGATTACCTCTTCTTCATTTTCATTCACGTCACGATAACTACGAAATTTTCTTTCTCCACGTCTCTTTTTCTTTAATGGAGAGGATAACAAGATGTGCGTGTGTGTATATTATCTTTGCTAACGTCTGCTAATATAATAAAAAAATATCAATAAAAAGAAACGCACGTTAAGAAAAATCGAAACGTCAATTGCGTTTTGTCTTTTCCTGCAAATACATTCATAATTTTGTGTGTGTGTGTGTGTGTGTGTGTGTATAAATTATGTTTCTAAATTCTCCGATTCCTTCTTTAAATCATTTTATATAATGTGTATATATACTCTCTTTTCTTTTTTAGCTGCTAAAGATACATTCATTATTTCTTGACTTTTTTTTTATTTATGAGTTTGGAGTTTTTTATATATTCCCCCCAAGTGTTACCTCAACTTCACAACGCTTACCGAAAAGGAGGAAAATACTTTTCTTTCTTCCCTTCGGACATAGAGCCTATCTTTCCTAATCCATATTAACGAACAGTGACCATTAAAGTGAAAAAGCTACTGATAAGGCTGCCATTAAGTCGACGGTGACAAGATGAAAAATAGAAAATGGCACGAGCATACGGAAAGGTAGTTTAAATGATTACTCGTTTTCCCAATATAACGCGACACTCTCGCCCCTCGCGGCACAATCGATTCTACACAATGAATTAGCTGACTCAAAGGAATAATCAGTCACTCACTCTGTTTGATTGTCCTCGAAAGTCAAACTGCCCTCGGTGTGCACGTATTGCTTGCCGGGTTTTGCGGTGCCTTCCACGGTGCGATAAGGGATGATGACGCGGCCGCGGGCGCCGCTGTAGCGCACGACCCGTAGGGGATGCTGGCCCACGCTTTCCACCAACTCCACGTCCCTCTCCGGAAAGCCGAAGATGCCGCTATGATCGTCATCCAAGATCATCACCGTTGCTAGGCTCGGTGAGACCAGCATCGCCGGCTGCGACACGTTACTGAGCCTGAAAATCAGAGATCTAATGTCGAATCGAGCTTTTGAATCGCGAGTCTTATAATCTAACAGTCGACAGATCCTTTACTTCTGCCGGCTAAAAATGTCGCTCTGCGGGATACCTTAATCAAGTTCGCGCGAGTCGCGGTCTATAATCTCGAAGCTGAATATTCGCCATTCGAGGGCAGATTTCACCCGAGACTTTATTTTTATCCACTGGCCTTCTTTTGATGTTCTTTCTGCGAGACGTTTTTTTTTTCTTGCTTATTTTCTTTTCTTTCTTTCTCTCTCTTTTTTCGCCTTTATTTGATCCACTAAATCTAGAACATCCTGCACGGCTACCCAAGACACCGGTGTTGCTTCTCTCAACGAGTGAAATAACATATATATCTATATATTCGCGCCTCTGTGAAAAGCGGGCGCTATTCACGAATGTGAGGAACACATGAGAAGGCAATTGGACAAAAATAATACCCGGGAGAATCTGAATTCTTACAGCGTTACGTTCGCGTATCGATTATCCTGATAAAGTATTACACGAATTGTTAGTGATATGGGTCGAGAAGGGAACCGTTGTTACTTAATGATCATTGCATATGGCACGTAACGAATCCGAAGATAACCGATATAATTCATAGCTTCTTTATTTCTCGCGCGCGTATGTGTGAATTGTTTTAATGTCAAAAGGTAACAAAGTGCAAACGAGTTAAATTGGAAAATAGCTTGTGTTTCGGCGAAACTATTCAAAATTTTAAGAACACAGTGGAAATGAGCGAGAAAACATTGTCGTTAAAAACAGAAGTTTTATCGGAAGTTTTACTGTGTCTATTTAAAAGATATTTCCTTGGAAGCGATATGTGTTCCATTCCATTTATATACTTTGAATCTTTCCCTTTTATAAATCTTTTGTTAACTAGTTCCTCTTCCTTCTACTCCTCCTCTTTCTCCCCCTTTTGTTATATTTCTATAATACCTATAATATGTTTTATGGTACATTGAATTTCCTTCATTGAAAGGAAGATGTCTGAGAGAAAAACAAATATCCTTTCGACGTTTCTAACGTCAATTTGCAATTTCATTTTTCAATTATTGCGAGAAGCTTTGTTCGTCATACTCGCACCAGAATAGAAAATGACGATGAATACTACAATTCTTAATAACACCTCGCATCGAACTTCGTATTTTACATTTGCGCCGAGAATAAAAGCGAACGGGGAAATTTCTTTGTTCTTTTCTCAGAGAAAGAAATTAATTGAAAAGCACAGAGCCGGAATGCAAGAAACGGTCAAGTGCATTGAGAGCTTTTAGAAAGGACGCACTTGAACCCTCCTTGAAAGCTTTCAATACACTTCCAAACGCGATTTGTTGTAATCGCACTCACAAAGGCATCAACAAACGCACGAATTACGTAAGTCGTATTTTCTCCTCATTCTATAATCCGAGTTATAAACTCGATAAATATTTCCTTTGGCGCGCCTATAAATGGCAAGCGGGGCATGATACTTGAAGGGCCGACGACAGCCTGAACGTGGTTAGTGGTGCGCCAATAAGCACAAATTGGATCAACAAACATTGCAGACCTGCTTTGGAACTTTGTCAATAGTAATAAAATCGCACGCAATTGTCGCGCGAAGGAATAAAATCGCTTGCACCGTCCTAATTGCTGTGAGATCGCTCCTAACAAAATTGCAAAATAGATAGATGAAGCGCGCAAAATAGACACAGTCCCAATAAAGGAGAAAGTTAAAAAAATTCAATAATTTAAACTAAGCCAAGTATTGATAGATGATAGTTCCTTTTGACCTTTAGACGAGCATTATTCACACTTAACATAACATTTCATTGTTTGATTGTGAATTTAATTGTTACTAACTGTTAATAAACATAGATTAATTAAAAGTTAAGATCTCGATTAGGATAATATTGAAATGTTTGATGAGAAATCTATATATTTTTTGAAGGGATACATCGGAGATACTGAGAAATATGGCACGTGGTCTAAATACAGAGTGGCTCTTAGCTAATGTTTATTTTCCATTGTTAGATAGACTGCGTGATTTGAATACTTTTGTCGGACAAAGAGGCGCCAATGTAACTGATCATCGTTACGCGCATCTTTATGTAACTATGCACGATTCTGCAGGCGAATAATCGGGATTGTTCATACACTTTAATGCATTTTTTGCTGCGATAAGCGGCAGTCATTTATTTCTTAATTTCCCTTTTTACTGTGCTTTCTCGCGATATGTGAAAACTTTATAATAAACTTCGTCAGTAACACCTTTCCTAAACTGCGGGCATTCGGTGCTGTGTATTGTGCTCTTCGAAACAAGTTGTTCTCGCATTTGTACACAGCATGTACTTCAGTCTCACTACTCCTTTAGCTATTCGATGCTTGCGAAATATCTGCCTACAATCTGGCACTTGTGGGTTGCTGAGTAGCTTGCATTCGAAGAGGGGTTAACAAAGGACTACCTTAGATCGTGACTTGGCTTGGTTTGAATTACTAGATTTCTCAGCTTCTTTTTTCTGGGCTCCTGCCTGCTTGTATGCTCTAAGCTTATGTTGTAACCTCGTTACCGGCGATCTCACAACGATTAATTAGAATGACGTAAATTATTTTACTTCTTAGCAACGATTGTATGCATTGAAGCATCATTATCCGTGTTTATAAATTTTCTCAATGATCCTTTATATATTTTTACCAAGTATCTAACAGTTCGTATTTTGTCATACATGAAATTGATTTGGAATAAAAAATTTGTTTCTAAATCAATGTAGAAATGAAATAAGCCAGTAAGAACAAATACACAAATACAATAGTGTAATCAAGTGTTAGAGACAAGTCTTCAGAATATGACAGGGATAATTTTAATATTAGCAAATTTGTTATATA